CAAGTTCCAAAAACAGGCATTGTCTCCCAAGAAGATGATGGTAAGAATTATTATTCACACTCAAATGGGATCTTAGTAATAAAAAAGGGAGGGGCCCTGGCCGGTGTGGTTTAGTGATTGGAGCGGCAGCCTGAGCACGGAGGGGACTCAGGTTCAATTCCCGGTCAAGGGCACATACCTAGTTGCAGGTTCGATCCCTGGCTCCAGTCAGGGTACGTGTGGGAGACAACCAATCCATGTGCCTCTGTCACATCAAGGTTTCTCTCTCTCACTCCCTCTTTCCTTCCCTCCCTCCCTAAAAAAATCAATGGAAAAAATATCCATGGGTGAGGATTAACAAACAAAAAGGGTGGTGGTGGGAAGGGACAGCACTGTGGCACTATTAACGAATTGCACGCAAATAAAATACCATAGCACTCACTCATTGTGGGCCAGGTACCATTCAGAGTGTTTTACATATATTATTTGATTTAACCTCAAAAAAGTCTATGATTCTCTCCACTTTAGAGATGTTTCATCGCTTGCTCCAGGGCACGCAGCTGGCACACCTTGGAGCCAGGGCCAGGGCCAGGGGAGTCAGTCGCTGCCGGAAACTGCTCTCAGCCACTGCACAACTGCTCTCAGGCTTATCTGCCATGCAGAGCGCAGAGGTTACAGTAATTAATCCTGTATCAACATGTCTTCCATCTTTATTGTGCGAAGCACTTTTACATGCTTTCTCTCACGTGTGTCCCTTTCTTGGTGCAGGACATATATAAATGCATAGTTGAACATACTGCCCTTGTTAGAGAACTAGTAGCCCGGTGCACGAAATTTGTGCACATTAAAAGGGAATTAATTGCCCTAACTGGTTTGGCTCAGTGGATAGAGCATCGGCATGCAGACTCAAGGGTCCCAGGTTCGATTCCGGTCAAGGGCATGTACCTTGGTTGCGGGCACATCCCCAGTGGGGAGTGTGCAGGAGGCAGCTGATCGATGTTTCTCTCTCATCGACGTTTCTAACTCTTTATCCCTTTCCCTTCCTTTCTGTAAAAAATCAATAATATATATATATTTTTAAAAAGGGTGTAATTCCCATTCGGGGCACATGCCTAGGTTGCGGGTTCGATCCCCTGTTGGGGCACATGCAGAAGGCAACTATCAGTGTTTCTCTCTCACATCGATGTTTTTTTTCTCTCTCTCCCTCTCCCTTCTTCTCTTTTTAAAATCAATAAACATTTCCTTGGGTGAGAATTAAAAAAAAAAGATGGTTTGTAAGTTGATAAGCAGGTAATTAACATTTAACATTCAGCCATGCTTATTACTGAAATTATTTCCATTGTCTTCATTAATTATTAGAGAATTCCAGAAAAATTGTTGGGAGGAAAAAGGCAAGATTATCAGCCACAATATCAACCCTTTTAGATTTCATGGTATGTTTACCTGTGGGAGAAGGAAAAATATGTGAACAAGATTCATAACCACAGGGAGTATGTAAGCCAAGCATGTCAAACTCAAAGGCTAACACTAGCCAAATAAACAAGGCATGCGGCCCGCGGGCCCGAATTTGACATGCTTGATGTAAGCGCTATTTTGAATTGCCTCCTTAATGGTAGCCAGGTTTTCTACTCTCTCCACCACGATGGCCATCAGGGAAGGGGCAGGTTAAAGTCCCCGTTAGGAAGGTAAAGAATGTGGGGAAGTGGGAAGGGAAAAAAAAAAGTAAGGTCAGGGGTCAGCTGCTACCCTTCCCCCTCTGCTTTGGGCTTTACCTTAAAGCCGCGGTCTGCAAACCACGGCTCGCGAGCCACATGCGGCTCTTTGGCCCCTCGAGTGTGGCTGATAACTTCTTTAGCTAAAGTTCCCTTGATTCGTAATCAGAAATCCTGATTCAAAAGCAAGCCCTCCTGTCTTATCAATAGGTTGACTAGATGGCAAAAGATTAATGCACACATTGGAGGCAGAAAAACGGGACCTCATTTCCAGAAAATGGGATGATTTCTTGTAAATCACTTAGTCGCTCCTCTGAGAACATAGCAGGAATCAGAAGTTCCATTAACCTTAGTACCATGAGAAGGGTAAAAAACACGAGCCAAAGTGTTCCATTAGGGAGTGAACAAAAGAGAGAAAAAAACAGAGGAGAGGTGGAACCAATAGGAGAAGAAGAAAAAAGCGCTCGGGAAGGGGCAGAGGTGATGAGAAAAGAGGAAGGAGCAGAAACCTGGCAGAGCAGCAGCTGCTACCACCTGCCTGATGCTCCGCTCTGAGAGAGTAGCCTGGATCACATACTTTTAGGTGATGTTTTTCTTTTCATGAAGAACAAAGGCAGTTTATTTTGAGAAGCTACTAACAATGCAAAGGAGATCCATAACGTTGTAATGATTTAAAAACACCCGTATTGCTTAGCCATCCGAATGCACACAAAAAATTGTATTATTTAGCCACACAAACATTCAAAGGAATGTTGAAGGAACGAGGCTTGAAAAGGTCAGCGACACTGTATTTTGCAGTACGAGTCTGTGGCTTCTTTAGGAGCAGCTTCGTTAAAGTCAGTCCCTAGTGGTTGGAGCAGACCCCACCTGCATCTAAACCAGCGGTTCTCAACCTGTGGGTCGCGACCCCTTTGGGGGGGTCGAATGACCCTTTCACAGGGGTCGCCTAAGACCATCGGAAAACACATATATAATTACATATTGTTTTTGTGATTAATCACTATGCTTTAATTATGTTCAATTTGTAACAATGAAATTGGGGGTCACCACAACATGAGGAACTGTATTAAAGGGTCGCGGCATTAGGAAGGTTGAGAACCACTGAATAAAAGCTTCCCGCGAAGTTAAGACTGAAGAGTTTCGTGCTCCCAGGAGACAGTGCCAGCGCCCAGGAGAAAAGGGTAAATAACAGGTGCTTTCAAGAGCTCTGGGGGACTTCCCAATTACACTCTACGGAAGAAAGGTTGCCTTGACAAAGGCGAATCGTCAGTCCCAATAGGCAAAAAAATAAGAGATTCTAAAGACACATATCATGTTCTCTCATAAAAATCATTTATTGGCACACCAGAAAGATCATTTTTTTCTAGTACAGCAGCTTCTATCCTTGCAATTCTGTGTAAACTACATGTTACAAGTCACTAGAAATCTAATTAGCAGGATGGATTTCATAAAGAACAAGGGTAACTATGAGTCTACAGCGGCCCAGCCATCGAGTCTCATTTGGAGAGAAAATCAAATATCAAACGAGTGTTGCCCTGCAACAGAGGTTTTCTGTAGCCAAGAGAAACCAGGACGGACAGAAACAGGATAGCACCCATTCAATAAATTAGGTACACGTGACTAGAAAACTGTAACTGAGAGAACTAATTTAAATCAGGTAAGCACAAAACTAAACCGGTAGCTATTTACATATGTTACTTTTTTCTGCTCAAACTTTAATTTGTTAGCTTTCCCATCCTACCTCTTCCCTTTTATTTGTTATTCTTGTTGTGTGTGTGTGTTGTTGTTTTTTTCATGGTGAATTTCTTGGCTCACTGGCGAATATGTAGACCACTAATCAGAACATCTTTCCAGGTCCTACATTTTCTAAAATGTCATGTTAAACTAAAGAATCTGAAGGGGATGTTACATGTCAGTCTCCCTCTATAGAAGTAACGAGCATTATTACTTTGCTATCACTCACAGCAATTGCATACAATTTCATTTTCTTCCAAACATTATTTGAACAACTCCAGGAAGGCAGGTTGTAATGGCAGCAGAGAGGATGGATTTGTTCATCTGTCACAGGCACAGAGAGTCGTACGTGGGGTGAGCGTGTTTATCCTGAGAATGCGGTAAGATGGCCTGAAACCCAAGATTCCCACGACTGAGGACGGGCCCACCTCCTTCTGGCCACTATCCCCGCCCCCCCGCTACATTTTTAAGGCTTAGTATCATTGCAGCATTAACCAATAAGAATGCTGACATCATTTCTACTAAAGAAGGGCTCTGTGATGAATGGCAACAGGTACCCTCATTAAAACAGCACGGTGGGAAAGGCATTGAGTGGGTATGTTTCTGGTGCTATGGCCAAAATATGTGGATTTTTAGCATCATGGCAGGGGGTTTGAAAGATCTTGCCAATGAGCCTCTCTCTCCCTTGTTTATTTCCCTTCTAGTTTTAACAATTTTCTATCATTTTATTTTGTGTTGTTCTCCTAGGAGGACAGAGACCACACCTGTGTACTCACCAGTCTCCTGTGTCTAGAATAGTGCCTGGTCCATCGTAGGCTCTCAATTAAAAACGTGTATTAAAGAAATGAACCAAATTGTTAAGGGCCCTGGTCTGCTTATGCCTGGAGACTTTCCGTTTTCATTCAATGACCAGGGTTCTGGCCTGTCCTAATGACCCAGCTATCCTAACGGCTGTACTCACGGTGTAGCTGAGTAGCTGATCCTTTTGTGCTTCAGTGGATAGGAAAACTTTTCAAGGCTACCTTCACTCTGGCCACCCCCCAAAGATCAGCTATGCAGAGCGAACACTGCACGAGGGGTAGCAGGGCAAGGACATTCTAGGAGGTAAACTGCAGGCTCCAAATTCAGCTCCTTCTTCCCTATCTCTCCCTACAACCTCTGACAGAAAGCTTAAGAAAACAAGTTATCAGGGGAATTTCCTCTTGGCAGGGCCAGTTCCACATGTCACTGATAACACGACCAGCAGGGAAACACAATGTAACTCACCTACATAAAAATGAAGTGAACTAAAAGCAAAATCTGAGAGAGGAAACGAAGCGACAGGTGGGCTGTCTGGGTCCTTCGCTGGTTGGAGTTGCTGAACATGGGAGCGAACGCAGGCATTACAGCAAGAGAGAGGTTGGAAGGGAAGGGGCGGAGCTGTGGGGTGTAAAGAGCATAGAGGACCAGCTTTGCTCTCCTCCTTCTCCCTCTCCTTCCAGCTCTCTGGCATCCCACCACGCTCTGGCTGAGCTCCTTGCAGTTGCTTCTCAGGTGGAGGGAAGAGCAGGCAGCTGGCGCTTTCACAGCCCATCCTTAGGCTATTGATGCTCTGCTGGAGTAGAAGTCAGGGACTGGGAGCCCGGTGTGAAGTGTGACCTGGGGGAAGAGACTGTGAGTCCTGGAGGCACAGGCAGGACCCTGCCCCCCCGCCCCCCGCCCCCTGCACCCTCCTTCCCAGGGCACAGTGGGTGTGTTCCTAATTCAAAAGGGATCTGGTCACGCTTCTTTAACCCATACCCTAGAACACGTTGAAGAGAATTGTAGTAGAATTCAGCCTGTGCTAGGAACCTGGTCATCATGGTGGTTATCCTGGAGACACTCGATACTATGGTTCTCATGTTAAGATTCTGGAGAGATTGTGTTCCTTATGACTAAAGACCCAGGCATTGATCTGCAGGTAGCAAAGCCTGTTGGCCACATGGTAGTGATCATTGCCAAGTCCATGGTTAGAGAACAGATAAGCAGGCAACCCTTCCTTTATTACTTGCCCACTAGTTATTCCAATGAGGATAAACCTTTCCTTTGGGGATTGCATAGATGATTGTCAGGTGTGAAGAAATATGGGCACTTAATGCTGTTTCACTGATTTCTGTCCAACCTCATACCGCCATGGACAAGGCTAGAATCACTTCGCACAGTACTGCCTTCGTTCCCGTTCTTGTCCTCGTCTTCCTCAGCCCAAGAGTCTTGATCTAAAGATACTCAGAGCAGTTAAAACTGGAAAACTTTGAATGAGGTTTTCCAAGGCTCACTTCTAGGGTATTTTATGGTTTCCTTTTTACCAATGTAGAGGCTGAACTTGATAGATTAGATTTCAGCCTCCCAGAAAAACTCAACTAGTTGCAGGAAGAGAGGAGGGCAGAGGTCACTGGCGGGCATCACTTCTACTGTACATCCTGAAGACAACAATGGATTTTTTTAAGTAGCTCCCAAAACTGTGGTTCTGAGTAGAGCAAAAATTATCTGCAGCGTTTTGATTCTCAAGCCCTATCTTAAGGTAGCCATTTGCTGAGTGAGATTCACAATGACAATGAGAGTTCCAGCTCAAGAGGGAAATGAAAGCCCAAGTCCTGGCTGTGGCTGGCCCGGCCCACCCCTTCCTGATCAGTTCTCCCACTGCCCCAGCCCCCGTGGCCTTTTCTTGCCTGGGCGAGGCCCCTCAGGCCTTAGAAGCTTTGCTCTGGCTGTTCCCTCTGCCTAGAAAGCCCCACACAGCTCCCTCCCTCACCCCCTTCAGGGCTCAGCTCACCTGTGACTGCCTCAAGGCCTACCCACACTGACCACCCTGTTTAAGACCGCAACACCCTCCAACCCCAGCACTCTCGATCCCCTTCCCCTACTTCGGTCTTTGCTCCCTCTCACTTACTGCCTTCGCACACACTCTATAATGAACATGGTAATTGTGCTTACTTGTTGTCTATCTCCTACAACTAGAATGTGAGCTCTAGGAGGGCAAGATTTTTGTCTGTTTTGTTTTTGCTGATGAACAATACTTATAATAGTGCCTTACATAGTAAAGGCACTCAACAGATATTTGTTGAATGAACGAATGAGAAGGATCTGTTGTTTTTCTATTCACAATAAATTGGAAATAACTACTTTTGGGCAGGGACTGTTTTCCATCCCCATAAATCAAGTAAGAGTGCAGAGAAGGTGCTCAAAATTGCTGATAATGGTGCTAATAGTCCAGTCTTACACCCTCTCTTGGGCACTCATGGAACTGCGCGAGGCATTTGTTTTTTGTGCCAGCTGGCCCAGGAGTTTCATTTCTACTAAAGATGAAACCAGGGCTCAGAGGGACAATCATTAGCAAACCACGAATAGAATTCCAGTTTCCCACTTGCTGTTAACTAGACTGTGTCCAAGCAGAACGAAGGGGCTTAGGTTGGCTCGGGAGCATGTCAGTTGTCCATGTTGACCCCTTTCCCTCCTCCTTTCCTGCCTGTTGGGGTCTGGACCTGACATGGTCAGCTTCCCTCTCTCGGGGGTGGACTTGCCCGCCCACGGGCAGCCCAGAAGCAGAGCGAGCAGAAGCTGTGTCTGCACTCACGGCGGTGCTGACCTGCACGTTCCTGTTCAGGCTCACGGCCGGGAAGAAGAGGCCCTCCATGTTCTCGAAGGCGATGGGCCCTTGCTGTTCGTCGTTGACAAAAAATGTCAAGGTTTTCCTGTTTAAGTCGAGGAGGACCCCGATGGTGGCCCCTTTTGCGATCCCTCCCTCAGTTCTGTGAAAACAACAACAACAAAAAGCAATTGGGTTTCCCTGGCCTGTCATCATGCTGGGAGCTCCCCATTTGTATGGCTAAGTGTTCCTTGACTTGTTTACAAGTAGCGTCTCCTCCCTCCCAGGAGCCTTTTAAAACAGGGCCCTCCTCTTTAATCGCTCCTCTTTACACGACATGTTAATATCACAGGCACACTGTGTATTTATTTATGTGTGGGTGCATAGTCTGTGCTTTATATATTAAAAGGGAAGGGTTTTGTGCTTACTCCCCCAAACCAATTTTCACGCCCTTGGGGGAAGTGTGGCCCGTGCTGAGTACGGATGGGTTCAACAGCGCTGCTCTGCTGTTGCTGGGAGTGACCTCACTCACACAGGGTCACCACCACCGAGACTCGAAGCATCGAAGACTAAGAAAGAGAGTAGCCGTTGGGCCCTCTGAGTTCTGCCCACAGCTGTGTCCAACACTCTGCACAGAGGTGTGGATTCAACATCATTTAATCGAGAGGGACTTAATTTAAAAATCAAAATAGAGAAGAATTTAAGCCAAACTTAAACATATGCATGAAAAATTGGATTTGGGGCTTTAGGCTACCCATTAAATAGAAAAAACTCATTCCAGAAAGATGGTAATTTTTGGCATGTTGAGTCCGCATTGAGAAGTTGGAGGCTCTCTAGAAAGTGGCAACATCGAAGAAGTAGGAGACGGAGTGATTTTAAAGAATCTGAACTCAAATGTCATTTCACAGTGAATTGGGTCTTATGCTTCAATGGATGGTTTTGCAAACACCATTCAGCATGGATGAGCAGCTTTGCCACTTGCCCTCGTTGAGGTCTAGCAGTATTTAATTTCATCCACCTCTAGGCAGAGCACAGAAATGTAAGAGTGCTGGTCTTTCCCTCTGGCATGCAGAATACAGACTACACATGGCTGTTCAAAGACAGGTTGATAAATTGTGTCTTGTATTCACACCTTCAACAGTGACAGCACAAGTGACACGAATTTGCATGCAAGCAGGCGTGTTCAGCTTTAAGATGTGTTTCTCTGCAGAGTGTGACAGTGGTCATTGTTCACCCCTTCACTTCAAAATAAAGAAGCTAAAAGGGAAAGGTAAGCATGGTCTGTGGGTGGTGGATTCAGAGATCCAGTGACAGAGAGCTCCCCCAAAATGTAGATCACTGAAGAAAACTGCTCAGCTGCATCTAATAGGGTTGGACAGCAGGCTGAAATGGTGTGTGTGCTCACTTGGAGAGGTAGTGAACAATACACACCAGCATGAGGTGTAAGAAAACATCCGAGGGAACAGGCATTGGAGGCCCTGGGAGACCCTGGCTAGAGAAGGGGCCGCGATGAGCATGTAGAAAAGGCTGAAACAGTGGAGGCCACTGTCCTACCACTGGCTCACTCACTTTCCTTTTGATCAGACCGATTTTTTTTCTTTCAGAGACACCAATGAGAATGTATCCTGGGGAAATCACTGCGAATAAAAAGGACCAGGGTCCATGAAAGATACTTATCTAGGAAAATCATAAAAAATACATTTGAGGAAGAAGACACGAACCAAATGAAAAGGAAGTCTAGGAAAACGGTTATAGTGGGGGTTAAAACTGTTACAGTGGGGGCTTACATTTTGGTGGTAGAGGAAAACCCAAGGAATTACTATGTTCTCCTTTCCCACCAAACTGGGTGCTCTGAATCTGTACAATGATAAGAGGCGTCTTCAAGTATAAAGCTATCCAAATTGGCATCCACAAGATTTAGTTTATTAACTGGCCTCTCTTCTGAGCAGTGGTATTGGCAATAATCATAAGAAGAGAAACAATAGCTTCTATTTTCAGATGCCTCTGATGTAGGCATTTTTGAACATTCCATTTAACCTTGGGAACATTCCTGCATAGAAAAATACTAATATCCTAATTTGGTGGATTTAAAAATTGAGGTTTAGAAAAACTAAATAACTTGTCCAAACGGCTTTTCTGTGAAGTGGGACTAGATTTTAGAATCCTGGAATGTGGTCCTGTCATGGGTGGGCATGGGGATTCTCGGTTTCCCGCCACGGGTGGAATATTACAGTGAAGGGCCTAGGAAAGAGCTTGTGTCTCTGCCATTCTGTGAGCAAACAAGCAAACACAATACCCACCAGGATGTTCTCAGTTAAGACTAGAAGAACTCCTGCGCTACTGAATGAAGACCGCCTGCCCGACCTCGACCTCCTTAATGTTGTCTATTTAATAGGCCTTTGAACTTGGGCTCTTGTTCTTGACCAGAAGCCAACGTGAAGAAGGCTTGGTTTGGGGGCTGCAGGGTACCTGTTGGTGTGCGAGTTGTTGTGCATGAACCAGCTCCGGTTATTGTCCACGTACATTGCCCACGCTTTGTCGTCCTTTCCTAACATCACATCCTTCATCACGTCGATGCGAGCCACGCCAAAGGCAGGGTCGGGGTGGTTGTCGTAGCGGTCCACCGTTATCTCCCAGTAGTGGACCCCCTTGGAGAAGCCGGTCTTCCCCAGTACCACCCGGTCATCGTAGCTGCTGCAGGTCACAGTCAGGTTGTCGTTGGAGAAGATGATGTCCGAGTGTGCTGAGCCGGGGTCAAAAGCAAACCAGGCCACTGGGAACAAGAGGAAGGAGTGGGGTTAGCGAGACGGACCCAGTGAGCCCAACACCATACCAGACTCCTGGGCGGCTGAGGGGCGCTGTGTCCCACGTTCATGCTGCCATGCAGGAGGGAGGCGTCCAGGGCCAGAAGGGGCCGTGAGTGAGCTGACAGGGGCCACATCCTGGGGGCTGGGACTCTCTGCGCCCAGAAGCAGATGGAAGGACACCCGACCGATTTAGCAGGGGTTACCTGGCTCAGACTGCACTCCCAACCAGGTGATCCGGGAGTGGAGTGGCATCGATTTTGGAAGGTGAAAGTCCCTTCACCCGGTGACTGGCAGACAGTACACCGGGGACATAAAGTGAGAGGGATGCGCTAAGATGCCTGTGTGGCCCTGAGGCAGGGAGGCTAGGATCTAGAGCCCTAGATGGAGGAGGGATAAACACACTGTGAAACCAGGAAACATGCCTTCGCGGAACTGCCCAAATCTAGTCATTTTGAAAATGTCTTCAGTGCTAGTGAAAGCTCAGAAAAGCTGCGAAGCTCTCAGAGACATGAACGGATTTTCCTGAGTGCTTGTGACGTGGACACAAGACAGGCTGCGTCCTTCATAACTTAAACATGCAGTTTGTAGGAGGAATTTGGGACACGAGGTGCAGATAGAACGATGTCTTTGTCCACATTGCTGCACCCCGAGTTCTAAATGCCGCCTGTCGATCACACACTCTAGAGGGAAGTCACTGCTGACTTGTGGAACCTGTGAGCCACCTCACAGGCACTGTGGTCTTTGCTATTTGTAACAGAATAAGTTTATTTCATACCTGCCAACAGCTTTTTAATGTCAACTGTTGTCATTCCAAGTGAAAGGCATGGGAGAGAGAAATAGGAAGCAAAATTGACATTGATAAGAAAACATAGCTCTTTTGATAGGCTAATACCAAAAAAGGGCTCAATTTTAAACTCTAGGAACACCACAACAGTTGGTCTGGCTATCTTTACCCACACTTAGCGCTCATAAAGAGTGCTTTGCATGGATGTAGATGTAAGAAAACTGGTCAGGAAAAGTAATCTTTGAGGTATAAAATTAAAATACAGGTATCTTTTCCATATTTCTAAATATTTGAGAAGCTATTATAATGGTATTTGAATGACAATTAGACAATTTTATTGACATAAAAGAAGCTATTGCCATTTATTTTGTGAAGGAAATTGAGCATACCAATCACATAGGTAAAAGATAACAATTACAATAGGTATACTTGCCTAATTGAGAGTAAGGTGCAGATTGTGGCTCAAAATTGCATCCTATAAAGAGATACTACACATCAAAGCTATGAAACAACAACCACGTTGATAATAATTATTTGTTTACACTTAAAAAGCACCTGCTGAATAAAGTCACCAGAGGCTTGATTCATGAAAAACCAAAGCCCTTTTATGTTAGTTTATTTGCTGAGTCAAGATTGCTTTTCTGCTTTTTTGAAATAAGAAGTACCTCTTTTTTTTCCATTTAATAAATATTCCTCTAATTTGTACAGCTTAAATTTTCTCCTTCTTAAAATTCAATCTTTTCCACTAAGGTTTCCACATTAAGAAGGATTACTGTTTAGAAATGAGAAAAATTCATCCCATTGAAATGGGAGAAAACGCTGGATCTTGAGAAAACTCCATTCTACATCACTATTCCATGCACTTGTAACTCGGGTTAGGCCTTTCTTGTGACTGGGCCCAAGTTAAATGCTACACATGTAACCAAATGGGAAATGTAATCTATATGCTAATAAATACATCTGATAATTATTAATAATGACGTGAATGAAATATAACAAAAATGGCCTCATCTTCTTCTCAGATTGTTTTACTACATCCTTTGCATCTAAGGAAGAGGGGGATTGGTGGATGGTAGGGGTGTGAATGATCTCAGAGATAGTTTAGAATCACCTGTGGAACTTTTCCAACTACCCCCTTTCCTTAAGATTTGGTACCCCTACCTAACCCATGAGAAGTTGCATTGGGTGGAGGAAGCAGTCTTATATTAACATGTTCAAAGATGTGAGAACTATAATTTGAAGTGGTGCCAGGGACTGCTTAGAAAACGTGTTTTTGATGAGCACTAGAGTATTCCCTAGGGAGGATAATTTAATTTTTTTTCAATTTATAAGACCCTAATATATTAACTTGTAAAACAATTGAAGGATGATACACTGAATTAAAAGAATTTCAGAAGAATTAAGAAGGGAACTTAGAAAGGACTAATAATTAAGTTAAAAGCAAAATTGAAAGATTTTGAACTTACATGTTTTTGGTTACTCTGGAATGAATTTGCATACAAAAGAATAATTTTCTCCTGAGAACACATGGAGTTTTAAAACCGAATTTCATATCCAGCTTTGGAAATAAATTTGTAGAATCTCAACAGGGCTTTTAACATGTTTAAATGAATCATGCCTTTGTGCAAGTCTTTTTCAAAACAAGTTTTGTGAAATCTTTTTACACTACTTTAAACACACTGTCAAACATTCAAGATTCAACGATACAACTAGAACAGTGCAAACAGCCATCAATTACCCCGAAACCCACATTGCATTTTATTTTTGAGACAATATACATTACAGAGACTATTACAATATTCCAGTACATTAAACACAAGTGAAAAGAATTCCATAACAGAGCATGTCTGAAAGCCAGTAGTGCACAGAAAAACAATAAGAAACGTAAAAGCACAAAGAAAAATGTCATTTTAAAGAGAGCTTGAAGTCCCTGCATCCTTTTTGCACTGTCATGCTGTGGTCTTCTTCATTCCAGGATGTGGGATGAGCAAAAAGAATAAAATAAGAAACAAAAGAAACCCTTGGAAATGTGAAATGTGCATCACGTGACTCCATGATTACAATATAGTCCTGAAGAGATCAAATAGGTCTGCATCGTAGATGTTTGACGTTTCTACTTGCTAGACAGTTCACTGCATGGTAACACGGGTCTAGCTTTCCTGCAGTCGGCCTAGAGCCCTGTCACAACCTGCTTGGCTGTGGGAAACCTCTGGGGAGGCCAGGCTTTTCAATGACTCAGATCTTTGGCCTTAAGCTAGTTAAGGGCTTCTCATTCAGCTAGTGGTGGTCCCTCCCCTTTGCTTGGAAAAAAACAACAACCCAGAACCCAGCCTTGAGCCCAACTGTCCTACCAGTGAGCACAGGCTTTTGCAGAAAATGTTTTTACTTTCTACCCTCTGGTTTGCTTATTTGTATGATGCATTCTGCTGTTGGTGTTGCTTTGTCTTATTTTTTTTCAATAAAGATCTCTTGAGTCTATGTTTAATCAGACCACTCCAGGCAGGATGCACTGATCCAGTGCCCCAGACAGAGCTGGTTTCCTGGATACAGCAGGGTTGCAAACCTCTAAGGCCTCCCCTCAGCCAGCTCCTGTGCCGTGCTATGCCACTGCATATGATGCCAGAGCAGGCTGTCCATGGTGGTACCAGCTTGTGCAAAAAGAACAACTTCACTCATCGCTTTCCAATGCCATTGTACATTGACCACAACTCGATGGGGGGGGGGGGGCATCCTCACACCACACAAACAAGACCACCACAAAGCTCCATGGCCCAAGTGCCCCTCCTATCAAAGCAGGCCACAAACATCGAGACTCGCTCATGGCCGGCTCCACGCACATGAATGGCAAATACAAAACAGCTCTTTCAGAGATGCCTTCAAGGCACAGAGATCAATCAAGAGGAAAGGTCAGAGGAGCTCAGCTCACCCGGTGCATTGAGAGACTGTAAGGAGGAATGCAAGCTCAGCTGGTGGGGTGAGGATCGGAAATCAAAGTAGGATCTCCCGGGAAAGCTGGGCTGGAGATTTAGGGTGGAGGAGAAAGGACTCATTCTACGGAGCGGCAATCTTTCCGAAGGCACTGGAAAAGGGAGTGTCTGTTCTTCTGAATCTGTGTCTAAATGTAAGATCAATGCAAACTGGAGATCAGAAATCTGCCACCTGCCCGTGCACAGTTCCCCCAGACCGGCCTCACCAATGCATCCGTACCGAGCCTCCTCCAGCCCGCCGTTGCCACAGGCATTTCCTAATCAGAATGGCATGGGCTGGGAGGGAATTCTAGGCAGGTCAGAACCCAAGACCAGACGGGACGTCACATACAGTTGTTTTCATTTCCCCCAGTTTTTCATGGTAGAGAAAGTTCCCTTTTAATGAAATATTTTTAGAGTTGAAATTAGAAACTTTAGAGGTAAATTTTACCCAGGAGTGAAGAGGAGATGAATATTTCACCCTCTTCAGCTAGTTCTGAAGTTACTACCCTCTTAAGGGGTTTCTACTTAGGAGGTGAGGATTTTTACCAACTCTCTGCTGTTCCACATTTCCCCTCTTCTCTCCATACATATTTTTTTCCATTTCAAAATGGATAATTTTTCTATACCAGCACACTCGAGACTTGCTCTTTGGATAGGCGAGGAAAATAGGGCTGACCATTGCAGAAGGAGTCTTGCCTCTGTTTCTGAGTTATGATCAGACCCTAGGGATGCCCCTGGAACATCTCTGGTTCTCTAATAATAAACAAACTGTGGGCAATGGTGAGGTGAATTGGTGGCAAAAAAAGGTCTTTATGTTCAGATAGTCAGGTCTGGTGTGAAGATCACTATTACACCAGAGAAAGGACTTACCAATTACTTGATCTGGCTTTAGAAGGGCTTGTGAGGTAGTTTCTCTAAATTACTAAATTCACTCCTTTCTCTTTTGTCAACCAATAACTGGTTCTTTGCAGTCGGGTGGTCTGGGCAGAGATTGATGTTTTACCAAATGGGGCCTTCTTAGAACATAGTTCGATAGTCATAATTTAGCAACTACACATGACATGATGGTAAGAGTCAATGTCCAAAACCAACAAGGAACTTCCTTCCCATTGAAAAAGTAATTTTACTTCAATGGCCAGAGGGTGTTCTTGAGGATATTTTTCTGGTTTGAGCCTGTTTTGAACACACCCTTTATCCTGTGAAAATGCTATTA